ATCTTAAAAGAAAGAAAATATCTGACAGGTCTGATAAGCCAAGTAGGTCTTTAAAGGGAAAAAAAAAAGGGAGGAGGAGAGGTGGGGAATTTTCTTCTGCCTTTTTAAAATGTGCCCTTTAAGAATACTTGCCAGAAATTAAAATAGTCTGAAACCTAAAGCAATCTCATCTTCACTCATAATAAATTTTTCATTATAGATTAAAAGGACCTTTGGCAGCACAAATGAGCAAATATATCCAAGTGGGTTAGAGGCCTAAGGAAGAAAACATCTTCACATAACCCAGAAATTGCCAAGATCTCAGCCTTTAGGATACTCTACTTCCTTACTTTTCAGTCAAAACATCCCTTCCCCCACTTTTTTTGAAGGAAGCCACCAGAGCCAGGAGGGATATTGGGAAGAGCCTGCACTAATTCATTCAAACATTTATTAAGTGCCTATTTTTGCAAAGCACTATACTAGGGATTAGGAGAGATACCAAGATAAATACTAATCCTCACTGAAAAATAATAACATAAATTAGAACGTGATGAGTAAAGAAAAGAAATAGTTAGGTGGCACTGTATATTAAGTGTGCTTGGCAATCAGAAGACCTGAGTTCAAATCCTGCCTTGGGCAATTATCAGTTGTGTGGTAGGCAAGTCACTTAACTTTCTTCGGCCTCAGTTTCCTCATCGGTAAAATGTGAGGGTTAGACTCAATGACCTACCTCTAAGGTCACTTTTAGCTCTAAATCTATAATGCTATGGAAAGGAAAATAAAATGCTCTGTTTGTTGTTTGGTTGTTTCTGTCATGTCTGACTCTCTGTGACCCCAGTGAAATGAAGTCGTGTGCCATTTCCTTCTCCAGTTCATTTTACACATGAGGAAACTGAGGCAAACAGGGTTAAGTGACTTGTCCAGGACACACAGATAGTAAGTATCTGAGGCCATATTTGAACTCGGGAAGATAAGTCTTTTTGACTCCAGGTCTTGCATCCATCCACCTCCCCACCTAACTGCCCAAAATGCTCTAAGATATCAGGTAATGGAGAATTACTTCTAAATTGTAGAGAATGAGGCAAGGCTTCACAAATATTAACTGACAGCGATTGGTGAGTTAGGATAGAGAGGAAGCAACAGCCTAGAGGCAGAAAACCATGGGTTACGTCCTTCCAGAATTCAATAAGTAATGGAGTTTGGCTGTAGTAGTATCTAATGGGCAACCGGGTACAGTAAGCCAGGATGGGGAGCTTGGGTTCAGATTGTAAGGCATCTTGGAGGTGAAACTAAGAGTCGAATCTTTATTCAGTAGGCAGTGCGCAGTCTGGGGAGGAGAGGAGAAGGCAAAGGATTAAACCTGTACACTGGTCAGACTACTCTGAACGCAGTATGTGGGATGAAATAAAAACGAATGAGTCTGGAGTCTGGATAGAGATGTCTGCTAGGTAGCCATTGCAACAGACCAGGTGCCAGCTAATGAGCTGCCTGAATTAGGGTGGCGGCGGTGAAAGTGTAAAAGTTATTAAGGTACAATAAACAGGAAGAATTAACATTATTTGGTGTTTGACATGTGAGAAGGAAAAGGACAAGTCAATGATAACTCCGAGGAGATGGACCTGAGTGTCTGGGAGAATGACAGTAATAAATGCCCTTAACAAATAGAATAATTAGGAGCAGCTAGGTGGTGCAGTGGATAAAGCACCGGCCCTGCAGTCAGGAGGACCTGAGTTCAAATCCTGCCTCAGACCAAACACTTGATACTTGCTAGCTGTGTAACCCTGGGCAAGTCACTTAACCCCAATTGCCTAAAAATAATAATTTAAAAAAAACAAATACAATAATTACTAATAATAACTTGTATTAATATAGTACTTTAAGATTCGCAAAGTGCTTTATATACATTATATCACAAATGATCAGTGGATCACAGATTTGTTGTTGTTATTGTTCAGTCACGTCCAACTTTTCATGATCCCATATGGGGTTTTCTTAGCAAAGATACTAGAGTGGTTTACCACTTCCTTCTCCAGCAAATTAAGGCAAATAGAGGTAAAGTGACTTACCCAGGGTCACACAGCTAGTGAGTATCTGAGACCAGAGTCGAACTCAGGTCTTCCTGACTCCAGGCTCCACTGAGCCACTTAGCTGTCTCCAGTCACAGATTTAGAGCCATCAAAATCACAGATTTAGATGAACTTAGGTCATCAAGTCCAATCCTCTCAATTTATAAATGAAGAAACTGTGCCTCTTGTCCAAGGTCATAGAGGTAATAAGCGGCAGAGATAAGATTTGAACTCAAGTCCAAGTGAAGCATTCTTTCCATTGTATCACAATGCTTCCCATATTTCACTGGATCCTCAAAACAACTCTGAGAAGGTGCACTATTTTTGTCTCCATTTTATAAATGAGGAAACTGAGGCTCAGAGAGGAGAAGGGACTTTCCTGGGGCCAGGCAGCTACTAAGTTTCTGAGGTGGGATTTGAAAGCACCTAATTCAGCCTCCAAGCCTACAACTCTTCACTACACAATGCTGCCAGAGGCTCTGGGGGGAAGCAATGAACTGAGTTTTAGACACATTGAGAGTCCAATCAAGGGGTTAAAAATGCTAGACTGGTGCTCAGCTTCAAAGTCAGTGCTGGAGATGTGCCCTGGTCCATCTGTGGGCAAGCTGTAAACCTCTGACACCTAAAAAATCTGGTTATTCTCAGGAATGTGCCACAACAGGGTACAAAAGTGACATGGCATTTCCCTTAAGTAATCATTGAGTCTTCTAAGAAATAGAGGGAACAGAAGAAATCAAAGACCGCTTCATCCAACCCCTTCACTTTACAGATGAGGAAACTGAGGAGGCCCAAGGAAGTTAAGTATCTTGTCCAATGTCACACAGGCAGTAAGCATAGAGGTGGTATTTGAATTTAAGATTCCAGAAACAGTGCTCTTTCCAAGGTACCCCACTGCTGGTGAAAGCTAATCAAGAGTGTTGTGAGACTAAACCTGTCAGGCAGCCTGACACTATTCCATGCATGAAGAATTATATTTTTCTACTGAGGAATACACACACACACACACACACACACACACACACACACAAACACACACACACACACCCTTCTCTCTCTCTCCCTTCTCCCTCCCTGACTCTCTCTCTCTGACTCCTCTCCCCAATCCCACCAGCTTAAATAATTTTAATGAGGTCTTCAGACTGAAATAAGAAATGATCAAGGGGTAACTTTTTTTAAAAAATAAAAAAGGAACAAAAACAATTTTCTCTATCAAAAATATACTCTGTCTATATCATGACCAGATAAGGGAGAGGGGAAGAAAGAGGACAGAGAGAAGCCAAAATAATGAGTTTACTATCCAGATGCTACTTCCTAAATCAACTTCTCCCTTCCAGATCTAAATCCCTATGCTTCAACTCCAATTCCTCAGCCACCTCTTGTTGGAAACCAGCCCTAATTCCTGGCCTACCACTGTAGCAGAGTAATCTATATGAGTATCTGTCACTGAAGATGATATGCCCAGTGTTGGACTTAAAAGACCCGATTTCCAGCCCAATTAGTTTCTATGATCTAGAATCTGACTACTCAGAACTTATAAGACCCATCATCATCAAAAGTATGGTCAACACCCCACTCTTGAACCCATTCTGTTGGCCTGTTATAGGGAGCTGTTTGTCCTTCATAATTCTCAACTGCCCAAAACCACTGGATTATAAACTTCTTGAGAGCTAGAATTGCTTTATGTATATGTTTTTTATTAGTGCCATCATTCCCTGCTCCCTTCCCCTACCCCTCCTCCCCCCAGCAAACACCCCTCCCTCCTGCCACTACTAACACCCAGGCTGTGAACATAAAAAGAGCTTACTAAACGATTCAAAATGATTAAATTAGATTGTGACCTCCTTGAGGCAGGGATTGTCTTTTCACTCTATTCATATCCCCAAGGCTTAGCACAATGCCTGGCATGTAGTAGGTGCTTAATGTTTACTGACTGACCTATTGATTGAAATGAAAATAGAAGATCTGGGTTCAGAACTGGCTCCTGTTTTACCAGGACCTCAGTTTCCTCATCTGTAAGTTGAGGAGATTGGATTCGATGACCCCTAAGGTCACTTCCAGCTCTAAATCTTTGATTCTGTGGAAAACCACCTCAGATGATCTGCCTAATTATCTCCTTCACCACATAGAGAACCTTGGGATTTTTGAAATGAAGCACTAAGATAAGAATGCCCCTGTGCACATAGGACAGAGAACCCTCATCTTACTGAAGGAACTCCTCTAAATATGTTGCTTCCAACTTGCTTTACAACATGACCCTACCTTTCCCAGCTTGCACTTTACTCCCTCCGCACACACAGCTCCATTCACCTATTTGTTCCTTGCACAGGACACTACATTTCCTCCATCCCATCTCTATGGGCTCTCCCTCCTTACCTCCACCTCTTCGCCCTTTTTTCAGGATTCAGCTCAAATCTGACCTTCTGCAGGAGGCTCTCCTGGTCCCCAGATGCCAGTGCTGTTCCTTCTCAGGTTACCTGCCATCTATTATACTTTTCTATATACCTAGTAACTTACGTGTAGTCTCTCCCATTAGAATGGGAGTTCCCTGAAGGCCGAGATTGGTTTTGCCTTTATTTTTTATCTCTAGTTCTTAATAAAATGCCTTCTACAAAGTTGGCGCTTAATAAGTGCTCGTCGGCTGACTGAATTCTGGTCTAAGTTGGGAGAGGGCACAATCTTGCAAAAACTAACTCTAGCCAGGGATTTCTTACCCATATTCCACCCCCTTCTCAACTTCCAGAAAAGAATCCAAAAAGGTGGAAAAAGAAGGATAAAGAAAAGAATGGGTTAATTCTCTTCTAACACACGTAGCCTAAATGGGACTGAAGGAGAAAGAAGAGGAAATAAAGATTTATCTCTTCATATTTGGTTGTACATTCTTATCGGTCCTTCCATCTTCTTAAAGAAAGATCCCCTTTATAAGGACACAGTGGCTAAAAAATAAAGCTATCTTACCAGTCACGGTTTTGTCCAGTCTCACTAATAGGCTGGTGTCTATCCTCACTTGACTGAGTGAAACTGGAGAAGCATTAAAACTGCCAATCACTGGGACATCTGTTCTGAGCGCTGAGTCCACTCCCGAATACCATGTCAGGAAACTCCGAAGCTGAAAAATTAAACAAGTCTTCACTGAACTCATTTTCTGCTACTGAGAGTAAAGTTAAAAAGAAAGACATTTGTAAAAGGCCTAATTTAAGAAGAATTCAGGCAGAGAAACAATAAAAAAAAAAAGAGAGAGAAAGAGAGACAATCAACTAGAAACAGGGTTCTTCTGGTTGCCATGTCAACTGATTACAGGAACAAACTCCAAAGCGACCAAAGGGGAGACATGCTCCCTCCCCCATTCACTCATGTCTGGAAAGCCTAAAGAACGAGTAGCGTTTCCTTGCCAAATTCTACATAGGACCATGCTCTCTTCCCTTTTCCAAAACTCCACTTACGTTATGGACCCTCTCTCTGGATGTCCTCTGACAATACAAATCCTACTTATGTTCTAGGACCCAGCACCATACTGCCCTCTCTTCACAAACGCTTCCCTGGCCATACTATCCCTTTTCTCAATGCCCACTGAGCTTAAATCTCTATCTCACACTATCATCATCTTTATCAAGAAAGCTAGTATTTATACAGCGCTTTAAGGTTTGTGAAGTGTTGTATAAATTTTATCCTCCCTAGGGGGTAGATGCTACCACTATCCTCATTTCACAAATGAAGAAACTGAGGCAAACATTAGTTAAGTGACTTGCCCAGAGCTAACAAGCTTCTGAGGCCAGCTTTGAACTCTGGGTCTTTCTTGACTAAAACTCTGGTGTTCTATCCACTGAGGCAACTAGAGGTCTCTATTATGTCACTGCATGCTGTCAAATGCTGTTTTCTACAGGGCTTTTTTAAAATACAAGAAAACCTACCAACTCATACTTTGCACATAGTGTAGTCACACACTGGCCTCTCCTTTATCAACCTCTTCAACTCCCATGATCTTCATTGGTGTTTTACTTCAGCCACCCACAGAAGTGGTTCAAATCTTTGACCTCACTATCACTCCAAGATCCTTAACTTTGGGATTTTCCCTCCTCCACGGTCACCATTATCTATTCTTCCACCTCTCTCAGGCCTCACTCCAGTACCTGTTATTCTCTACCCTCATGAAAACATTCCTCCTTCTCTAAATCCATCAACTCTCTCCTGATTTCATTTCCCCTCCCCTTGAGACCAGAAAGCCATTCCTACAATGCAATACCATGAATCCCTTGTTCTTTCATTCTCTAACAGTTTCCATCCCTGCTAATCTCCAACCCAGAATCAATCCCATCATCTGCTTCTTCCATTCCTCCTCCAGGGTTGCTGGGCCCTGCTAGAATTAGTCATTTGGTATACTACAAAAATTCACGCTAACCTACCTTCCAATGAAGCCTCACTGCTCTACCACACAGCACATAAATACTTCTTAATAACTTCACAAATACTTCTTTCCTTCCTTTCTATTCATCTCCTGTTGACTCTCTCCCAGTGGCCACTCCAAACCTCCTACAGTCAGGTCAACAACTCTATTTTCACCTCCTTTTATTTTAGCTTATAACTTTTCTTACTTTACAGACAAAATTCTAATGTGAGTTTCCTTATCTCCCTTCCTCTACACCTAAAAAGCTCTCTTTTTCTTCATTCATTCTCACCTCTTCTTTCCCTTCCAGGGCAGGAGATGCAACTGTGGCAACTAGGGACTGTGATGAAGAATGCCTGGCAGGTATAGAGATATATCAACACATATAACATGCTTGTTGTTGATGAAAGATTGTGAGCCCCCTAACTGTATCTACAAAGAAAAAATAGCACACAAAACTCAGAGCTGCTTGAGGCTCCCCACTGAGTGTTTGGCTCCCTGGAACATGACTTCCATTCCCATTACTCTGTACTGAAAGTGCTCTGCATTTTCAGTGGCCTCTTAATTGCCAAATCCAGTGACCTTTTCTCAGGTCTCATCCTCCTTATCCTTCCAATGGCCTTTAACTTTTGATATTCTCACCCACAATGGGATCTCTAACTCTAGTGTCTCCTGATTCTCCTTCCTACTGACCGCTTCTTCATTGGTTTAGCTGTCTCTCCCTACTCCAAAGGGTTGGTGCAACTCAAGACTCTGTCCTTGGCATATCTCTCTTCTTTCTTTGTCCTGTTTCCTTTGGCAACCCCAACCACCTCCATGGCTTCACTGACACTTTGATGCAAATAGCTTCCCAGGCTGCTCCTATATCCTTCCAAATTTTTCTCAAGCCATCAATGGACTCCCTTGCATATCCCCACTAGTTCTTTATTTTCCTTCAAGAACAAGCCAATGTGTAACCTACTCATAGCTTTCATTAATTCCTCTCCTTCTTCATCTGAAAGTAATCTTTTCCCTCAAATTTCTCATTACAATTGCCTGATCTCTCCTTTTCCTTTGTCATTTCACCTTCTATCCTATTCATTTGTGCAAACCACCATCACTAGCCCCTCTGAAAACTTTATTCTTTTTAAAGGCAGGGATTTTATAACTTTTTTCATCTTTGAATACCCAGCACAGGTCTGTGCACACAATAAGAGCCTAATAAATTTGTGTCTACTTTCATCTCATTTGTTAGGCATTTGTGCAAACACTGCAAAGGAGACCATGTGTAGTTCTCTGTGACTTCATATATCTATCAAGAATATAGCTCAGTAAAATGTGCTGACTGACTGGTTTTCCCACAAATATATTAACCCTGAAAATAAGATAAGTGCCTACTATTTGCTCTATAGAATAGTTGCCTAATAAGTTTTAAAAATAAATGATACTATTGCTTTCTTGTCTAATTTTCACTGGATTTGGTGACAGGAAGTTAAGAAAGGAAATCCTACTTCACATACTTACTCGCTGTGTGACCAAGTATGGGAAAGTACAGCGAGTAATTTTAACTCTATGCACTTCAATTTCGTCATCAGTAAAAGTGAGGTAATAGCACTTATTTTACACAGATGTTGTGAGGTTCATGCAATATAAAGTATACACAGGACTTTATAAACCTTAAAATCTAAATTCTGACTATTATAATACACACACATATATACACATATAAATATGTGTATATATATTTGTATATACATATGAGGGAAGAGACAGAGACAGAGAGTCAAAGATTTGCTGCTATTCAATTGTGTCTGATTCTTTGTGACCCCATTTGGGGTTTTCTTGGCAAGGATACAGGGGTAGTTTGCCATTTCCTTCTCCAGCTCATTGATGATGACGAGGAAACTGAGGCAAATAGGGTTAAGCAACTCACCCAGGATCACAGAGCGAGCAAGTGTCTGAGGCCAGAGATGAACTCAGGAAGATGAGTCTTCTGACTCCCCAGGCCAGGCACTCTATTCACTGTGCCACCCAGCTGCCCAGAGTCAATGATACAGACAATAGACAATGATATAGAGAGACTTACAGAGAGAGAGAGAGAAAGAGAGACAGAGACAGGTCCAGACCTGTGATTTCATGGATATGTGGGTAGAGACAGATTTCCAGTCTGGAAATTACTTCTACCATCAGCAATTCCCATTAATGTAAAACCTTAGTCTAAGTATAATCTTAGTCTATTTATCCTTAATAGAAGGATGTGTTCTGTAAAACTTGGACTCAGTCAAAGGGCTGCACCCAAGGAACTAGAAGGTCACATGTGACCTCGAGGCTGCAGGTTTCCTCTCTCCTCCCAGAACAATAAGAGAATAAGCAGATTTGCCCATGGGTCACACAGATAGTATGTATAAGACACAGGACTTGTACTCAGATCTCCTGGATGCCAGAGCTATCAGTTATGGCCAGGATGCCTCTTTCTCCCAATTTTATGTGTGTGTGTGTGTATGAATTATATATTATGCATGTATATATATGCATGTATGTATTTTATATATGTGTGTGTATATATATATATATAGTATACCCAATCTCCTAATCTACTCACATCACTTGACCAAATAAACTGAGTCCACTTCACTCACAGACACAAAATTTATGAGAAAAATATACTCCAAACATTGAAGCAATAAAGATTGTTAAAATTTCAGATTTGTCACCTAAATTTTTAGGCTCCAAGGTACATCATTTTTTTACAGAAACAGGAAATTAACTGTAAATAGACCCTGGTCATCAGACCAGGGTCATTTTCTCGGCTCATCACAGACTCCTGTAATTTTAGAGCAGCATGAGCCTTCTGAGACGCGCCCCTCCTTACACCTCAGTTTTCTATACCAGCAGATGTAGTGCAGATCTGTTCTAATTTATCTAATTTCAAGATGCCTTATTTTCACACCAGGAGAGCCAACCTTTTCACCTTGATACCAAATATGAATGCCCTGGCAACACTTAAAGAATGTCTTTGAAGTATTTCAATTCCTAGAGTCTGTTCTAATAGCGCTATTTACCACCTGCATCTGGTTCATTAGTGCTGACATTGCTATTTATTAAGTGTCCAGTATCACCAACAGTGAATTATTCAATTACACAGGGGCAAAATAAATCTTTTGCTCATTTATTCTACTCAGATATTAAAATAGAATTTGGTAGCATGCATGAGAGCATTGCCCTCCAAAGATGCAGACTACAGCCCTTCCCTCTCTGGCCATCTTATGTCCCTTTCGTCTTATAATTTTGCTACAGGAGGTCCACCCAAAGTGCTGACGGCCCCTCTGAGGTCAAGGACTAATAGCCAAGTTTGTTGTTGTTCAGTCAGCTGTGTCTGACCCTTCCTGACCTCTCTTGGGCTTGATTTTGCAAAGATAATGGAGTGGTTTGCCATTTCCTTCACCAGTGGATCCAGTGGATACATTTTGTCAGATAATCAGAGGTTAAGTGACGTGCCCAGGGTCACACAGTGAGGAAGTATCTGAGGCTGGATTTGAACTCAAGTCTTGCTGATAGAGCCCAGTGCTTTATCCACTGAGCCACGGCTGCCTCTAATAGTCAAGTTAAGGTTTAAAAAGTGTTTGATTCTTAATACCTCCATTTCCACCACTTTAGCAAAAAGTGAGCGCTCGGTGAATTAGCAAAAGGTGAGCGCTTGGTGAATTAGCAAAAAGTGACTACTCAAGGCTGAGTATCACTTTATA